AATGATTTTTTTTCGGAGAAGGAAAAGGCTCAGGCCCCTTTTCCCCCTCGTGGAAATTTATCGGTCGTAAATATTCAAGTAATTATATTTAATGATTGTTTTTTGATGTTCAAAATTTTGCGGTCGTTCATCGATTTTTGTTTTTTGTTATTAAAAAGTTGTCGAGAAAAACATTTTTGCGAAACGAAAAGAAAAATTATATTACGTAGTACTTTTAACGAAATTAATGCTTAACTTATACGAAAAAATTATTTTTACAATTTAAAAAAAATTTTCTTTTCTTTTTCATTACAAAAAAAAAAAAGGATGGTAAAAATTCTTTGATCACGTGACGTAACGTTTTCAATTTTTATTCTTCTTGAAAATTTACAAGAGCAAAACGCTAACAACAGCAACAACAACAACAGCAACAACGTTTTCGTGACATTTACACGCCCAAACGTTAATGATTCCAATAAAAAAAAAAAAAACCTGAAGAAAAATTCTGAAAAGTATTTTTTTCTTTGTAATTTGTGAGCTTGTGTGACGTAAAAGTTTAACGAGTGAAATGAAAGTTCCGGAAAAACCGCGGGTGGAAAATTCGATTTTGAATGAAAAGTCACACACACATCCCCTCCTTTCATTAAATTTTTCATCCGACAAAACCTTTTGCAATAAATCACAAGAAAAAAAAAACTCTTTTGCTGTCGGATAATAATAATAATAATAATTTTTTTTTATTTTTTTAGAAAAAAAGAAAAGAAAGAAAAAGAGAAACAGGAAGAGAAAGAGAGAGAGAGAAAATGGAGGTTGTTAAAAAATTTTTAAATTACTACTACCACTACTTACCTTTCACCTTTTTAAATTTTAAAAAAACAATGACGTCATTTACTTTTATATCCTTTTAAAAAAAAAAAATTTCTGCGGGAGAAAAAGAAACAAAAAACGTGGCATTAATTTAATAATATTAATAATAATAACGGGTTCATTATTTGGTTATTTAATATCACGAAACAAAGAGAGAGAGAGAGAGAGAAAGAAAGAAAAGAAATTCCAAAAAAAAGGAATTTGGGATAGAGAAAAAAAATTTAAACCAAAATACGCCGCCGTCGGCAAATTTTGCTGTTGGGTTTTTTTATTTTTCCAGATCAATCAGAAAACTCCAAAACTGGAGAGTAAAAAAAAAAATTATTTCTTTGCTCTTCCTTCCTTCCAAAAAAAGAAAAACGCGCGTTTTAATAGCAGCGCGTCATTTTTTTTTTTTTTTTACAAACGGTAAATAAATAAATAATATTTTTAAAAAAATCTCAGCGACGTGGCAGAAAACTGAAATTTTCATTTCCGGTAGTTTATTCGGATTTATAATAAAAAAAAAAAAAAGATTTGCTACCACGACTAACCAAATATCTCCAAAAAAAAGAAATTTTTTTTTTTCTCTTTCTTTCTTAAATTTACGATCGTTCACATAAATTATATACATAAAAAAAAAAATAATAATAATAATAATAATTTTAACATTTAATTTATCCACTGGAAAATCGTAAAGGATTTTATGGAGAAAAACAAAAAAAAAAACAAAAAATTCTCCAGGAAAGGAATAATAAATCACAAAAGTTTTACTCGCGTATCGTAAAAATTTTTACCGAATTCGAATCTCATTTTAACAACAAACTGCAACCGACGAACCGACCAATAGAAACAACAACAACGGCATCCATTTTGTTTTTTTTTTCGGAATGACTATTTTTAAAAATGACGTTCGAATTAAATTATTTGAATCATTACGCCGCGTAAATTGAAACGTGTTATCTTTCGCATGCCAGACCAAGTTTCCTTTTTTTTACTTTTTCCTCCTCTTTCCTCGCCGTTTCACTTTCCTTTTATTAAAAAAAAAATTCTTTTATTATTATTATTATTATCATCATCATCATGTTAAATTTTTCTTTGCGCGCGAAAACTACTTAAAAAGAAATAATATACGCCCGCGTAAAAAAAAAAAAAAAATTTAAAAAGAAACTTTCGATTACTTATTAAAACCTTTTTTAACTACTTTTTTTTTTTTTTTTACCAAGATCTCGACTTCCGGTTTTAAATCGACGACAATTAATAATAATAATAATAGTAAAAACAGGTACGGTGACAAAAAGGAATAATAATTCCAATAACTCGATTCGTAAAAAAAAAAAAAAAAAAACGTATTTTGCCGCTGAAACATAATCGAATTCGTTTTTTTTATTTAGGTTAAAAATTATTATTATTATTATTAAATTGAATTTTTTTTTTTTGAGGAGGGGGGGAGCCATGTCATTTTGGGCGGTTCTGATAACGCGTCCTCCATGTTTTCCATTTTTTTTTTTTAAATAAACAATATATTTACTAGCATGTTTTAAATGTATTAAACCGTTCACTGAATGGAAAAATGTTACACATGATTGGCAATTTGATATTTTTACGATTTAAAGGCAACCCCCTCTTTTTTTCTTTCCCCTTTCTTCCCTTCCTTTTCCGCTTCCCCCGTCGGCTTTCGATTTTTTTTTTTAATATTGATTTTATATAGGAAAAAAATTGTCTCACATTCGTAGTAAACATTCTTTATTTTTGCTTTTTTTCGAATTTCGTTCGGTATTTTTTTGCCTAACACGCACGTACGTACCCACGCGACTCCCCCCCCCACGCACATCTCTTTTTTTTTTTACCAAACCCCACCGTTAAAAAAAAATTTTTTTTATATATCGGGAGAAAAAATTCTGAGAATTCTGAGAAGTTTTTATAAAAACAAAAAAAATAATTAAATGGAATTAAAATAATTCGATACGATTTTCGAGAGTGAGCTCTCTCGATTGCTTGTTATGAAACGAGAGAACATGTGGCGTCAGGGGCGGTGGCGGTGGCGGCCATGATGATGATAATATTAATAATAACGACTCTTTCTTTTTTTTTTTTTATTTCGAGACCGAGTGAAAAATATTAAAAATTAAAATTTTCCCTTCAGGCTTGATTTTTTTCATAAAAACCATTATTTTTACCCATCCTCCTTCCTCCCTTCCTCCCCACCCTCTTTCTCGTTCCTCGCTTTTCCACAACCTTCTCAAGCGAAATAATTCCCCTCCCCCCTCAAAAAAAAAAAAACAAACAAATTTTCGATAATTATTATTTTTTTAAAAATATAATCAATTTATTAAGAGCATTTTATCATTTTATTTTTTTTAAGCTTTTCCTCAGCGGGAAAAATTTAAATTGCCTCAAAAGAAATAATTAATTTATTATTATTATCATCATCATCATCACGAGTGATAATATGGAACGTCATCGATTTAAAATCGGATGTGATACGACGAAGAGAGATGGGATGAAAAAAAAAGAGGAGAAGAAAAGAAAGAAAGAGGAAGGACACAAATTCCACATTATCATCCAGCGGGTTCGGATAAAAAATAATAATAATAATAATAATTTTCCTTAGAGAAAAGTCATAAAAATTTTCCTCGGCCTTATATTGTTTTAGGTGGTTTATGGAGCATTAAGTAACAAACCGATTGGAAAATTTTTTTTTTTTTTGTAAAATGAACCGACGTTTTGTGATTTTTTTCTTTTTTTTTTCAAACTCATCATTTCCGAACAGAGAAAAAAAATGGCAAATCGATTATAAAAAACTGGTTTCCTGGAAAAAAATATCCAAGGTGTGAAAGGGGAAAGGGGGAGGGGGCAAGAAAAAAAAAGGAGGGGAACGTTAAAAAAAAAAAAATAATAATCAATCATCGATACCTTTTATGAAATCCACGGCCATTTCCAAACCGTATGAATCTTTATCGCAATCGTCCAATATGTGAGCACCCAAACGGATATCCGGTAGCAAAGTTCCGTTATTGATGACGTCAAGAGTGTAAAGCATAGTTTCGAGTGCTTGAATGCCACCCTGAGGCATTATGGGTCCGCAAGTGACGGAATCTTCTCTTTCGTGTACCATCATGAGTCCTCCCAATATCAAATCACCATCGACTTCCGCTTCTTTTTTAACCGGCCAATGAAAACCTTGATTACTTTTTACCGGCCAATTATCGTCTGCTATTAAATTTCTAACGTTTGTCTTATAAAAAAATTTCTCGGCATTTCTATTATTATTATTATTATAATTCACGGGATTAATAGAATAATCCCTTATGAATAATTCACCGTGTTTGTGACGGTGTTTCCGGTATAAATATTCTTTTAAATATTTATCGTTATCATTTCCGTTATCGTTAAATCCGTCGAATAATTTTTCGTAATTTTTCTCGTGAAAATCACCGACAGGAATTAAAAACCACAAAGTTAATTTTATTGTTAATATTAATTTCATTTTTTTTTCTTATCAATTATCGACGCCATATTTAATAAGTAAAAAAAATTTTCTTTTTTTTTTTATTTTGTCTTCTTAAATTTAAAAATAACCCCGAGGGTGGGGTGGAGGAAAAAACAAAATGGCGGACGAAATGACCTGATAAATAAAAATAAATAAAATTTAAAGATTGATCGATTGATTTCAATTTTTTCAAGGTCACTCTATTTATTTTTATCGTATTATAAAACAAAATTTTCTTTTTTTTTTATTACCGTTTAAAAATTATGGCTGGAAATTTATCAACCGGAAATAGAGTATAAAAAAAAAAAAGGAAGAAAAAGTTTTTTTAAAAGTAGTTGGCAAAAAGAATTTTCTCTCTCATGTTTGAAATCCTTTAAAAGATTAAAATGATAAAGTTCTATTATAACTATAAACATGTTCTCTTGAGAGAATACCTATTATTCATCCCTTACATTTTTCTTTCTTTTTCCTTCCTTAAATATATGGCTTTACTTTTTGTTTGACAAAAAATAAGAAAAGTTTTTCTTACTCCACGACAAAACAAAATGATGCAAAAATAATTATAATGATAATGATAAAAGGTAAAGTTTTAAAAAAAAAAAAAAAAAAATTTTTTTCACCAATCTTTCGAGAGAAAAAAAAGTAAACGTAATTAAAAATATAAAATAAAATAAATTTATTCCTTATTTTTTTTGAGTCTTTTTCCGAACAAAATGGCCTCCAGTCGTTCATCTTTCTCTCTCTCTTTCTTTTTTCCTTTCTCTTTTTCTTTTCCTTTTTCTCTTTTTTTTTTCTCACATACTATCTTTCATTTCTTATCCCTCTGTCTTTCTTTCCTCTGTTTCTCTCTCTCTTTTCCTTTCCCTCTACTCTCCCTCTCTTCCTCTCTCTCTCTTTCTATTATCCCCCTCTTTCTCTCTCTCTATTATCCCCCTCTCTCTCTCATTCTCTCTCTCTCTTTCATTTTTTTATTCTCTCTTACCCCCCCTCTCTCTCTCTCTGTCAATCTTTTATTCCCAATTTTTTTTCTCTCTCATTCTTTCATTTTTTCATTCCTTCTTCCTCTTTCTTTCATTCTTTCTGTTCACTCTCTCTCTCTCTTTTTGATTACCTCACACGTTTCCTCTTTAACGCTTTAAAAATTTTTCCATTGTCAAATTTATTTATTGACAGTCGTCAAATCATTTTTTTTTTATCACCCTCTTTCCACTCCTCCAAAAAAATTTCTCATAAGTAAATAACCAAAAAAAAACTTGATGATAATAATAATAATAATAATAATAATAAAAACAATCACGATGACTATGATTTATTATTTACTCAAATGATTACCAACTCATAAAAAAAAATAATAAAAATAATAATGATAATTAATCGTTTTTTTTTTTTTTACAAAAAATTTCCTTCGGGAAAAAAATTACGAGGGGGGGGGCGTTTAGGAAATATTAAAAAAAATAAAATCGGAGACGCGGTAATGATAATGATGATGATAATAACTTTTTTTTTGTTTGGAAAATTTTAAAATTTTTAATTCCTTTTTAATTTTTTTTCTACTTAAAAAAAGAAAAAAAAAATTCTTGGAAAATCGAAACGGAAAAAAAAGTTTATTATTATTATTATCATTATTATTATTGTTATTATCATTATTATTACTATTATTATTATTATTATTTTAACAGGTTTTAAATCTGAAACAATTTTTATTATTATTATTTTTTTTATTTTCTTCATTTCAGACTTTTTTTTTGTTTTCCTTTGAAATCATTTTTACTCCACCGTCACCACCACTACCATCACCACAACCACAACCGCCACCATCATCATCATCATCACCACCGCCACCACAATTACCTCCTTTACCACGATTCATTTATTTTAAAATTATGATAAAAGAAAGAAAAAAAGAAAGAAAATAAAAAAAAAAAATTCGCGAACTTTTGCGATTTTTTTATTTTATTTTTTTAATTTGAAAAGTTTTTTTTTTTTTTTTTACTGGAGTCTGGATAATTTTTTTTTTTTTAAATAATAAATATTCTAAAATCTGCTACACGTTTTATTATTATTATTATTATTATTATTATTATTATTATTATTGTTACTATCTTTCTTTCTTTTCGAAAAAGTTTTTAAAAATATAAAAAAAGAAAAACGTTAAATTTATATCTTAAAAAACTTTTATTCTTTTTATTTTTTGAAATAAAAAATCGTCTTGTTGCCATTAAAATAAACAAACGTTCGACTCGTTTACCGTATTCGACTCGCACGTAGTTCATTTAAAGAAAAGAAAAAATTCCGTAACTTTTTGACGACACCTCGTATCACTACTATAAATAACATCGTACATCGCAACAATAGTAAATTTTTTTTGGTTTTAAATGACTTGTTAACACGCCGTCGGATTTCATTCCAGAATTGCTCCCCCTCTCCCCCTCCTCTGGTTTTCGATATCGAAACCTGATAATAATTAATTATATCATTATCATATATTTTACTTTATTTCGCCGGAATCAAAACCTTTTCCCCGTTTCCCTATTTACATTTCCTGAAAAATTTTTAATATTCGCGCGTATAATCGATTGGGAAAAATTTTTTTTTTTGAGGTGTCGCGCGGATTCGTTCCATCATTTTACGACCTTTGACCCGATGCAACCGGATCAAAGGTAAACCGTTTGTAAAGATAAAAAAACGTTCGATCATCATCATCATTATAAACCTAAAAAAATTTTTTTCGACGATGATTTCGATTCTCTTTCTAGAAAATTCCAACGAAATATTCATCATTCACATTCTACGTCATAACATTTTTAAATTTTACAATTAAAACATCGGATTTAAAAAAAAACCGAAAACGCTTCTTTTTTTTTAAATTTTCTCAAAAAAAAAATTAATTATTATTATTATTAATTATTATTATTAAAAACATAATTACCGTGAAAATTTTCGTTTGACTTGTTTTTCAAAACGTGTAAATTTCACGTTAAAAAATTGATGACGATGATGATAATAATAATAATAATTGCGTTTCTTTTCTTTTGATAAGTTCAAAACCGGAAATGATTTTTTTGTTTTTTTATTAAATTAATTTTTCAATTTCATCAACCGTTTTCGAAACAAAAAAAAAAAAAAATTTTCCGCTTTTAACTTTACGTAATAAAAAAAATGATAATAATAATAATGATTATTATTATTATTATTATTATTATTATTATTATTATTATTATTATTATTATTATTATTATTATTATTATTTGATATTGAAATAATTGCTTTCGTTATATATTAAAAAACAAAAATACGTAACCGTAAGAAGAAAAAAAAAGGAGGAAATGAAAAACGAAATGAAAAAAAAAAAAAAAATTGATATCCTTCGTTGAGAGAGAGAAGGGGGAGGGTAAGGAAAGTAGAGGGGGAAAGAGGAAAGGGAAAATCAAAAGGTATCAAAACAAAACATCGAATAATAATTGATAAAAAACAATATGTCTGATACATGTTTTTCATGACACACAAAAAAAAATTTATAAATAAATATTATTTTTTTACGTTTCCCGTTGTTTTTTTTTTATTACTTCACAGTTTATAATTCGAATAATAATATAAAAAAAAAGGAAAGAAGAAAAAGGTAAGAAAAAGGAAAACGAGAAAAAAAAATGATAGGAGGAGGAGTAAGGAAAAACGTACAACAAATTAAAATTTTTTTTTTTTTATTTTTTCCGGACACGATTTCGATGACTTTTTTTTATAAAAAATTTTTTTCCTCTTTCCCCTCTCCTCCCATCCACTTCCTCCCAACCTTCCCTATTCTCTCTCTCACACTCTCTCCCCTTTTTCCCGCTTTTTTTGTGAATCAAACAAATACGTAATAATTAAAAATCGACGGCGAATTTTAAATTTAAAAAAACTAAATCCGATTTCAAAATTTAATTTTGTTTTATTTACTTTTTTTTCTCTCTCCGAAACTTTTTTTTTTAACTCTCTCACTCTCTCTCTCTCTCTCTCTCTCTTTCTCTTTCTCTTTTAATTATTATCGTCTTAATATGTAATATACGTGGGCATTTCCAAGCAATTTTTTTTTTATTTTCCAGAAAACCAAAGCCTGGACGACAAAAAAAAAAAAAGTTTTTAAATAATTTGATTTTTTTTTCTCTCTCGTATAAAAAAATACGCGCACTCACGCACACACCCACGCATATCATATATATATATATATATACGTTTTCTAAAGGAAAATAAAAAAGGAAAAAAAAGGAAAAAAATAAATAAACGCGCGTTTTTTTTTTTTTTATTGCTTTTTACTAAGCGTTAATATAAAACGAAGGCTAACTTTGTACTCGATCGTAAAAAAAAGGGAAAAAAAAGGAATAAAAAGGAATAAAAAAAAGAAGCGGAGGAGGAATAGAAGGGGAAGGGGAGGGGGGAAAATGCTGTATTTAAACAATTTTTAAGTAAATTCAGACTTTGTAACGAACGGAAAAAATAAAAAAAAATGGCGATGAAACTTTTCATCTTTTTTTTTTTTATAAAATACAAAAGACTTTATATATATATATATATTTATTTTTAAATTACGTTTTTTAATAAGTTCAATTTTTTTTTTTTTTTTTTTAACTTCAACGAAAAACAAAAAGAGAGAAAGAGAGAGCGCGAATGAGAAAAAGAGAGAGAGAGAGAGAAAACGCACGTTTTAATTTTAAAAAAACCAAAATGAAAAATAAAAAATAAAAATAAAAAATAAAAATAAAAATAATGAAGATAATGAATCGACTAGAATGTGAATTTAATGGCTCTCCTTCTTAAGGCTCTTACCCTTCCCCAATTCCTATGATGAAGTTTTTGCAGCAACAGAAGACGAAACGTGGAAAAATAGTAAATTTATTATTTTCCAGTAGTTCCAGTCAATACGACTGCCTTCGATTTTTTTTTCTCCATAATTTTCCAAAGAAATTCGTTATAAATTATACCGCAGAAAAGGATTTAAATTTTCAGAAAAAAAATTTTTT